TGAAGAACCTGGGCATGTGGCAGATTCCCATGTCATTATCATAAGATCATTAACGGGATTATTGGGAAATTGAAAATTCATATAAGCCAAAAAATGAGGAATGCCGCTACGAAACAACTCTTCTTGGCGGGTTTGAAGTCGGATATGTTTGCACTTGATGGACTGTAGCCCCTTGAGTAGCACATCTGGAACCTGCTGCAGTCTCTAAGAGGTTTCAGTCTAAAAAAAAATTAATGCAGGCTAATTTCAAACATTATATTAAAAGAACTTTAAAAAATACAATGGGAATATGAGGAAACAAACTAACCATTAAGGGAGGCCCTAACAAACCAGGTCCTTGAGGTTCAGCTGGTTGCAGGCCACCACAAAAGCCATAGCAGTTGTCACCCGAGCTGCACCCTTCAGGTAGCCAATGGCTCCGCTTGGAATGGCGCCTGTGTTCCCAATGCTGCTGTCCTGCAAGCAGTCAAGGGGGAAAACTGTGTGTGACAGGCTGTCAGGTTAATCCCAATAGATTTGGTACAATTGTAAGGCTATCAGGTTAATAGCCACCATCATAGATTGATTTAAGGCTATTTGTTCAAATGATTTGATACCACATTGGGCCCAAAGGTTATTTTCACTTCCCTTCCTTGATTCGGATGTTGATGGGTTCGTCATGGGTGATAAACCCATCTACTGCGTAATTCCACATCAACTTGCTCGCCACGTCCAGCGTCGGGGGTTCTCGTAAACTTGCCCAGTTCTCACCAGAGAAGAGATGGAAAGGTACAACCATGGGCTCTTGTTGGTCCTCTTGCCCTAAGTTAGTTGGAGCATGGGATGAATTTGATATGCAGCCATGCCAAGCAAATGAAATCTTCCTAAGTTAAGTGAGTCTATATTTGGTGTATGGATTTTCTATGATTTTCTACTGTTTCTACATTATGTATAATAACAATTCAATAATGCCAAACGGATTTCCGGTGAGTATACAAACTAGACATGGTGCCAAGGCACCAGGAAAGCAACAAGGGATTGGATAGTTCTCAATGTATTTCTCAGAATCTAGCTTCGGCACCATTTTCTCAAGAACACTGGCAAGCTCCACACTGCGCGATGCTGCAACTGGGAAGGTCTGGTGCAGGTACTGCCTGGGCCCACCAGCACCTAGGAACAGGCCAATTAGAATAGAAAGCAATGACAAAATGCAAAGATTTCCACATTTCCAAAACAAAGTTGAACCTCTGAAAAATATAATCCAGTAATTAGTCAGGACACCTTTGATAAGATTCAAGATGACCTCAGTCAACCTCTCATCTGGGGTGGCATCTATCTCAAAAGCTGTGGAGGTCCCAATTGCTGACTCCCCTCCCGACCCCACTGCATGCATCATCGCATCTGCAGCTCCCACATCCTCCGAGGCAAGGGATATGGTCTTGCGATCATCAACTGGATGCTTGACGGCGAGGTAGAGGTTCGACGTCGATTGAGAGTCAAGGTCCTGAGGATAGAAAGACAGGACAACACTGATGAACCAATAGGCAATGGAAAAATTGAACATGTTATGCCATGATTCCGAAATGATTGTAACCAAGATTTATACAGACAATAAGATTCTTATCGTCTATGTGTATTTCACTGTCAAACGAACATCCATATATTAATATATATTATAACATAATATAATATAATATTGAGTCAAAACACAATATAACATATTGTAAGTGGGTGTCCTCATTGTCCATGAACTCATCGTCGTCCACGTACGATGCCTCCTTAGGAGAATGTAGCTGAATGATGTCCCACTACTAACAGGGGTTTGAATTTCCTTATAGGTATTTTTGAAGGTGCCCTGTTTTAGGTCTTTCAGGGTCCAAAAAAGGGCATTGAAAGTTACCAATTAAGGATTAATAAGTATACCCCGGTGAAATCATAACATGTATAATTTTGTGGTCATTTAAAAAAGTAAGAGTTATGAAATACATGCAAAGATTCAGGGTTTGGTGAGTTACCCGAATCCATGGCACTCACAACTCACAACGGATTTGATCCAAAACAGCTTCCCCGCAGAACTCAATATCTGATTTTGCTATGTTGACTTCTGCAGGTTTCAACTGAAATTGTTCTAAAACCCAGGGTTTGTGGGATGTTCAGCAGAAGTCAAGATGCTGAATCTTCAATGGCACTTCTGCTGGCCATGCATCATCCCTAGGAATTTCTGAAGATTTCAATTGAAACCTTCAGATCTTTATGATTGGATTTGACATGTTGACTTCTGCAAAAAAAATCATGTTTTCTTTCGAGGCATTGATTTCGGTTCCAGAAGGCCTCAGATTTCCGAAGGTTTCGGATGAAACCTTCAGAAATTTCCCTTTTTCTGACCCCAATTCAACGTCTGGTAAAAAAACTTATTTTTTTTTTCAGACCCCAAATCAACGCCCGGTAAGAAAAACTCATTTTTTTCCACATTTGTCTGAGGTCCAATGGAAGAGTGGAGATTCAACTCCTTTTGCGCTCCTCTTCAAGGAGTGCCTTGCAAATGACATTGCAAAGAGGGTCGGGATACTCCTGGGCTGCTCTTGAGCGTTTCACCCCCCCCCTCGCTACCAGAAATAATTTGATGGGGGTGGTCCCCCGGACAAAAGTATCCATCTAGGGCTTTCAGCAGCTCGGGGGAATTGGTCATGACCCTGGTGCGTTTCTTCACAGGGGTCTTAGTCTCCAAAGATACAAGGCCAAATTGGCACTGATCGAACTCCGCAATCTTCACAGAGCTATGGCGTTGCACATGCTTCACCTTAGATAGCAGCAGGCATTCGATGTATGTATGTATGCATGCATGTATGTATGTATGCATGCATGCATGTATGTATGTAAGTGAGTATATGTGTTTAGGTATTAATAAATGTATATTTATATGCATATATGTATGTAATGCATATTAGCCTGTACGAATGCAACGCAATGCAATGCAACACAATGCAATACAATGCAATACAATGCAATGTAATGTAGGTATGTAGGTATGTAGGTATGTAGGTATGCACGTATGTAGGTATGCAGGTATGTAGGTATGTAGGTATGTAGGTATGTAGGTATGTAGGTATGTAGGTATGTAGGTATGTAGGTATGTAGGTATGTAGGTATGTAGGTATGTATGTATGTATGTATGTATATATGTATGCATGTATGCATGTATGAATGTATGCATATATGCATGTATGTATGTATGTCTGCATGTAGTATGCATGCATGCATGTATAAATGTTTGCTTTTATTTGTAGATATGTTTGAATGCAAATCATATTACAATGGATTTGACAATGAAATAGGGACCACCAGCGACAAGCAATGGAACTTATTTTGTATGTATGTGTGTATGTATGTATGCACGTTATAAGAAAACAAACAAAATAGATAAAACATGACATGTGTATATATATATATATGTATGATGATGATGATGACGATGATGAATGTGTTTTTTTCTAAGGCTTTGGGTTTTGCCCCCATATGAACATGGCTTGTCTCCAAATACAGGGGGGCCCCAAACTGTAAAAAAACATGACTTTTTTTGGAGATTTGCCCCCCCCCCTTTATTTAGATCATGCCCACATACAGTCATACATCCCTTCAAATGAAGAAACATACATCATAACATTTCATTCTTCTTTGGATTTGACTATGGTAAGGTCACAAGCAAATGCCGTTGAGTGACGCTATCCCTGTTCCATGCCAGGGACCCATGAGGGTGTTCAAACCCAAATATGTTGCCACTGAGAACTTGATGGTCTGCAAACCACATTGAAGTGTCTATCAGATCACATGCTTCCTTCAGATTCAGCACCCTTTTGGTTGATGCCACCCTAGCCCAATTCGAGTGCTGTAACTGAGACACCCAGGTGCATGGTGGGCTCAGAAACAAAACCAAGGGTTGCAGGATGGCCAAATCCTGAAACACTGTTCTGGCTAGCGTATGGTTTCCTAGGTCCCAGAAATGACGAATGTCATAGCTTCGTGTGGATCGGCCACCTAGTTGAATCATTTTTGGCTGCAGTCTTGGCAAGGAAAACAACTCCCATAGCGTATCTGGCTTTGCCTTGTCGTTGAATGGCTTCAGATTTTCCAAAATTCCCTTCAAATCATGGAAAGGGTGTTCACACTGACTTGGAATCTTTGAAGCTGCTTTTTTGAGGCTCACATCATCATACTTCAAAATAGCTGCCCCAGGAGTTGATGTAGACTCAGGTGTCATTGATGTAGTAGCTTCCAACGCATTTGACATAGCTGAATCCGAAAAAAGGGGTCCATCATCATCAGAAGGCAATTCCGAACCCCCCTGAGCAGCAGCTGGGGCATCTGATTTCTGGACCCTTGCAGATTTGCGAGGTGGGCAACGCTGCTTCTTGGGAGGCCTGGGAACCTTGCTGCCCCTGGCGGCTTTGGGGAGGAACTGTTCCCAGATATCGACCCCTGGCCCTGAATCATCATCTGGCAGAGCCAGACGACTCAGAGACATGGCTATAATTGGCTAAAATAGCTTCTAGATGTGACAATTTGATGATTTGATGATATTATCCAGTCTGATGTACATAAAATTAAAGATATTAAGAAGTAGGCTGGGATTGTTGAATTTCACACCATTTTTGATTGGCCTTGAGTGATCTGCAAACATCTGAGCAGCAAAAACCTGCAGGTCATGTTTGTTGACGCAAGCTCAATATCCTGATTGAATCAGATACCAACAAATTTTCCATTACATACTCACTCAATTCCTGCTACTAGACCGTGTTTTGAAAAGAACGCAGCAGCATGCAGCTATTCAATTCATTTTTCCACATTGAAGCCAGCTCCAATTGGGCTTCTGTCAGTTTGACCAGATGTTTCCACAATCTTTGCTTGACAATTGGACACAAGTGGATGTCCTTTCCAACTGAAAGATGATATCACCTTTCGCAAACTCCCCCGGCATTCGACTTCGCTAAATGCTCGAAAAACCCAAAGTTGGTCATTGGTACCTACTTACAAGGCCGTTTGTTTTTCAGACAACCCCTCCCACGTCCACGTCCACGACCAGGAATCTTCGTGGAAGGCTTCTTGACCATGGCCTTTGCCTTCTGCTTTGCACTGGCCTTGGGTGCCTGGGCTGCAGCAGCAGGTGCATGACCTCTTTTCTCAAGGAATTTCTTCAAGCCAACATCATTGTCCCCAGCAGCAGAACACATGGACCAGAACTCACGCTCAACATTATCTTTCCACATCTCTTTGGGGACATTCTTGTAGAACATCAATCTCCGACATTCCCATTGCTGTTGGAAATCTTCAGATCCAAGCTTGGTTCTCCCAGCAAAGGTAGCACGGGTTGGTAGGTCTGGCAGAACCCCTGGGTCAACCATTGGCTCAGCCCCTGCCGGCACGACCACTGGATCAGCTTGCTCAGGTGGTGGCACCGCAACTGCAGCCACCGAAGATTGCTCCACAAAGGGGCATTCAGCTGCGCCACTCGCCTCTTGAATCTGGGCAGGAGGGTTCTTGGGAGGGCGCCCCCTCCTCTTCGCTGGCTGGTTTGGATCCTTTGGAGGTCTCCCCCTCTTCTTTTGTGGTTGGTCATCAAGATCCTTCTTCACAGGGGCTACTGAAACAGCTTGGACTGGTCCAGGTGCAAATCGTTCCCACCTAATTTGGAGAAATCAAGAAAATACAAGAAACATTGGGCATACCCATAATGATGTACATTCCACCCACTATCATAAAAGTGTTTTCTAACACAGGGTAATTTTGGATCAAACATTTTCGAATTCATCCAAGAAACCCCTCAGGATTGGGTGCCACACATGGGTTCCTTACATCTGACGAGAACCACCACACAGGTTCACTGATCGAGGGCCACTGCTGGTTGACATTCGCATCCTTTGTTATTGTTTTGATTGGTCAGTGGTGAAAGGAAACCACAGAAAATTATTATTGTTGGAAATTCCCCAAACTTTTTTTGGAAATAAAATTTCCCAATTCTCTTGCCCCAAGCTCCACCCATGTACGAAGACACTTGGCCGCTTTGACAAGATCCCACGGATCTTTCTCCACCATCTCCGCAGTCTTGAGAAACCTGGGCTCAGGTATTGGTTGATGCCCAGGGTATCTTGTGCCTGGAGCTGTAGTGACTCGGCTTTGGAATATTATGGGGCTTGTGGGAAGAAACTTGATTAAACAGCTCATTATCTGGCGTTATGATCAACAAAAGTTTTTTACAAAATCTGGGCCATGTAACTCTTTGCGAGCTCGATCTGAAAGCATGTTGCGGGGCAGGGCTGTCAAAGGCATGACAAGTTTCTCAGCAAACTTGGCTGGGAGCAGTGTCAATGGTGGTTGGGACAACGATTGGCTGTTGACCAGGTGCTTCAGCAATAAAATGCAGTCAGAGCCCACATGTTGGTACGTCTCCTTACAAAGATGATATTGAGAAATCTGGGTTTAAACTGATTCGACCCCCAAAATAAGTTCTATTAAGTGTAGTAGGTAGGAAAAAGTGCGAAGAGGTTGAGAACATGGCACCAAGTTTCATCCGGGATCTCTGTCGGGGTCCATGAATCCCCAGACTTGTCATCATAGAGTGGCAGGTCCTAAGTCGCAGTCACACAGTGTTATTGTCACCCCACCATGTCTACCCAGCAAAGAAAAATAGGACCATGAGTACTAAAATTTTTTTGGTGCAAAACTATAAGTGTCAGATCGAAGGATGAATCTCCAACAGTGGTTGACACTACTGGTCGATTTGGGGCCCTTGACCAACCCACTCATGTAGATGTCGTACTGATCATAGTAGGCCTTCCAATTCAGGCTGCCTGTGAGAATCTCTGCCCTGAGTTCTCGCTTCCGAGATGGCTTGATCTTCTGATGAATGATGTTGACAAAGTCCTATAGGGTGACCCACATGGAAATCAAAAGAGATAGCAATCAAGCAATGTGTCACTGAAGGCTGTTGAACGCAACATTTTCAAAATATTCAACCCCTGCCACTCTCCTGTGGGGTTTGGATAATGTCAGCTGACCCAAATGCTGATGTGCAAATCGAAAGGCGCTGGTCTACCGGCCCATGCGTGTGCCCAACCTCTCCAAAGATGTGGGTCACCGACCTGAACCTTGGCTGGAATCAAGAGCAAAAATTATATGGCACCAATGGGCTTGGCTGGGGTGATAAGATAATTGGGTTGTTTACATATATCAATGGCTATAAGTTTATTTCATTGTTGTGGGTTATATAATGTTATATAATCATATCAATGACTAGAAAATGATTTGATTATTGTGGGTTATATAATGTTATATAATCATTGAATATATATCCATATCAATGATTATAAGTTTATTTGATTGTTGTGGGTTATAATCACATTCATGATAATATCAAATCCGAAGAAAATTGACGAAATTGGATAAAGGACCGGCCAGTGATGACGGCCGTTGCTGATGCCTTTGCAACTATTTGGTTGCGGCCCTCTCTGACGCAATTGTCAGTCTGCAGGGTTGGCAATCCTACTGCAATGGAAATACAAAGCAATTCCATAACTACATATATAAATAACTATTTATTATCATGTTAAAATATCAAACATTTTCAGCTTTAGTAAGCAGTGGGCCTCTATGCAAAGGTGCGATGGCATGGCCACACCACGTGCATCCAAGATTTCCTTTGCCTGGTCAAGTGCCCGGAGAATGCATGTCACCTCTGTCGAACTGTCCTTTGGGACATCAGGTTCCAACACAAAGTAGCTTTCAACTACCTCAGAGGTCAGACTAGGAGGGGGTTCAGCTTCCAGCTTGTAAACATTTTGATTAAAAAAGCACCCTGACCAGAAAAATGTTTTCTAGTGCCAATTTCAAGATACTCCCCAAACTATGCAGCCCAAGACATGGATTTGTGGTCTCCAAACACCAGATAGGCTTTTCGGGTTGATGGAATTCAAACGAGGATATCGGGTCTTCGATTGATCCAGCCCATCAATGTCAAGCTTGAGAATGCAAGCACTGCTCCCACCCTGCCCTGCAGCAGTTGAGATTTCACTCATGGTGTTGAGCCGCGACTGAGCACTCCTGTAGTGTCTGACATTTCGGATGTGTTGGCTTTGAGCATGTTCAAGCTGATCTCGTTCATTCTGAAGTGTGGTCTTCCGGATTCTGCGTGTGAACTCACTGCACTGAGTGCACCTAACTTTGTGGAGGTAGACCCAACACAATATTCTGTCACAATTTGTGTACAGATCCTAGGCATATGTTATATTAGTCCATGGGAAAAATGTTAACTGTTAATCAATACCATGACACCTTGCATGCTGACTGGTTTCCCTGAATTGGAGCAAACCCTTCCAGCGCTCTTCATACACAAGGGAGAAGCAACGGCTCTTGGCCAAATCATCACGGGTGTCACCATTTCCACTGCCCCACAACAAGTATAGCTCATAGAAGGCTTCCATGCTCATGTGTTGCAAATGGCGAGGCTGCATGCCACCTTAGTGGGTATGACTTTCATTGCCCTTCCAAATATTTGAAGTTGCTAACAACCTACTTGACAGTGTCCAGCCATTAGATACATATTATGCATATACACAATATATACATATGTTTTATTGTGGTTTCATAGAAATAAAAAAATCCAAGAACAAAACAAAGCTGAGATTCTATCTTTGGGCACCCCATTCATGAGTTCCAGCGCTGCTACGGGGCTAGTTTGGCTGAACGTCTTCGCACTGTAATCCACATCCCCTCCAAGGAGCGATTTCGGCAAGTCAGATTCAGCAGCTCCTCGGACTGGCAAAGGGAAGGGTTTCAAACGAGTTCCAGCTTTGGATGGTTTGTTACACAGGGGTCAACAACCCAAAAGACTATCCTGAACTACTTTGTTTATCCAAAGGGCCTGGGATGAATAGACCAGATGATGCAAGAGCAGCACCACTGACTTCTTCAACGGGAGCTGTCTCAGCTAAAGGTTCAGCCTCAGGAACTTGTGGTCATTGATTCATTGAGAATCTAAATCCTTCCATTTTTCTTCATGTGGTAAAATCAGTGTCAATATGAAATTAGACTAATAGAAGAACAGGTACCAGATTAAAGTAGACATACGCCATGAACGCATCAACGGAGGCACTCTTGTCAGTGGGCTGCTTCCCATTGAACTTCCGCATGTCAGTTGGAAGGGAATTGGTCGCCAACCCATTTGCCAACCTCTTGACCGGATGGTTTTTACATTCATGCCAAAAGAATACAGGAGATTTTCAGAAGTTTTTACTAATTCATTTATTTCAGGGGTTGGAAAAAAACTTTTTGGGGCTGGGTCAAAGTGGCCCTCTTCTCGTTCACACCCAGAAGAATGCACCAAGCCTTCTCACAAACATCGAAGCCACCGATGGCATACTTGAGATTGCTGGAGCGCGTTTTCTTTGAAGCAGCCTTGCCAACAGGTCAACGAAAGAGTTTCATAACATGTGGGGTCTTACACTGTGGGCTGCCCTACTAAAGGAATTTGGTTTATAGCTATGGGCAATTGGGTTTTATACAAATTTTGAACTAGGGGGCCCCACCTTCTACTAATGCCCAATACTCTCAATATTGGCATTCCCCCATACAACTTGTCCAAGAAACTTCAGGTAACTCAGAGAATGCACTGTCGGGCACAAGAGTGTCCAGTTTTTGCAGCAAACCAAGAATGTACTGGTTCAGATCATGCCCAGCCATGGACGACATCTTCTCCCGCATTTCCTCAGAAGGAGAATGAAGAATGGGGTAGCAATTGCCTGCAATTGTTTTTTTTTGGGGGGCTTATTTTGCAAAGAAGAACAAATTTGATAGTGAATCAGCATACGAGAATCCTTAAGGAATCTCATCCTGGAATCACCAGTTCTGAATTGGGAGCAGCATCCCTTTCTGCAGCAATACAGCGGCTTCTCTGGTGGTGTCCTTGTACTGCCCACAAGAATACCACCAAAAAAGAGCATACTTTAATACCTGATTCAGCTAAATTTATCCAATATTTGTGTCTTCAACCATTTTCCAGGGATGAAGTGAATGGGGGCCATTGAAAACAAAAAAAACATCCTAATTTGCACTGATGCACTCTAAGCTGGGAAAGCGTTGGACTCTTTGGGCAGGTGTTTTGCTCTCCTCATCTTCAACCCCAGGCATCATCATTGACATTTGAACGGTCATACCAATGCTGGGCCCATCATCATCAGATGGTAAATCAAGTGGCATTGCGACAGCCACCCTGCACCTTGCTACTCCTTGAGGCTGAAATGGCCAGCCAATTGGCGGTCAGACTAATGTTCGCTCAGGCCTTTCTGGAATGGGCCAGGAGGAGTGACCAGTGTGACGGCTAATGGGTATGTGATTTTGCCTAGCTGGCTAAAAGCACATTATATAAACAGGATTTTTGTTGCGACGGTATTGGGGGATTACATGCTTCCTCGATCTTTTTGATTATATCCCTGACCCACATATATATCATAATTCATCAAGTCTACATGACGCGGTTTTATGCTCCAAGTCAAAATAGTGGCACGTTGTTGAATGCATAGTAGGTGATAACAATAACATTAATAATAATATTTTTTGGAAAATCACAAGAGGATGTTCTGAACGCTAACACGAGTTATTTATTGGATGGCATGCTGATATCCCAATCACCCAATTGCGAGCCTTTAAAATTTCTCACTGAATGGTGATTTCTAGGAAACTCCAAAATTAAGATAATGAAGGGCCCCAGGGTAAATTTCAAACATTGCATCTTGCTGACAAAACCATTGGCTGCTGACCTCTGCGATCATGCAGAGTGGAGGATGGCTGCCTGACCATGGCACTTGCAAAACATGGGAGGCTTGGACAAACCACAGAGAGGTGAGGAATGTCCCGACAATCTCAAATGAGACTTGGGATTTGTCCCGCTTACACAATTGATCCTGGTCTACATCGATGCGACGAACAACTTTGATGGTGAGCGTGCCAATGCGGCTATGCTGCTGCACCAGTCCCTGATCGATTGGATTTAAATGACGAATGCTTCGAGCATCCTGTGGGTGCATGTCTGGGGACGATTCCAACATACCAACTATGATGACATGAACGAGATGGACACAGAGCTTGCTTGAACAGTTGCTCAATTTGGTCGGTAGGGTTGTGATATGAGAATAATTCAGAATAATATTAGTACTAATATTGATGAGTAATATATATATATATATATGTGGTTGAAGATAATTACTGTGGAAGAATGGGTATACAAACTGCTGCAGCTCCACCCAACTGCTGGCCTGCGAGGCAGCTGACACAGAAGGAGATGGCCACCAGCGGCAGCCGCAGTCAGTGGCCAGTGGTGGCCCTTTTGGGGGCCCTTTTGGGGGCCCTTTGGGTTTGGATTGTGGGATAGGAAATCATAATAATAATAATATTAATATTAATTGGGAATTTCCAGGAGTTTAATGCGATAGTTTAAATACCAATTTTGGAGTGATATGATGTAAGTATGTCATGAAAACCCTGACCCCAAATCAAACGCAATCCACCCCAAATCAAATGCAAAACCTTGCAAAGTGCGCGCAAAGTGCGTGAAGTGCGTAAAATGCGCAAAGCGCGTAAAAAGTTCATTAAAAAATGCGTAAAAAAACGTGAAAAATGCGTAAGAAGTGCGTAAACAGCGCGCCAAGTCAAAGTGCGCAAAGTGCGTAAACTGCGTAAAAAATGCGTAAAAACTGTGTAAAAAGTGCGTAAAAAGTGCGGGCAAAGCGCGCAAAGTGCGTAAAGTGCGCAATCTGCGTAGAAGTGCGCAATCTGCGTAGAAGTGCGCAAAGTGCGTAAAAAGTGCGTAAAATGTGCGTAAAAAGTGCGAAACGCGCGCCAAGTCAAAGTGCGTAAAGCGCGCAAAGTGCGTAAACTGGGTATAGTGCGCAAAGTGCGTAAAAAGTGCGAAAAACGAGCGTAAAAAGTGCGCGCAAAGTGCGCAAAGTGCGTAATGTGCGCAAAGTGCGCGCAAAGTGCGTGAAGTGCGTAAAGTGAGCACAAAGTGCTATATGCAATAATAGATTTCTCCAATCACAGCTTTCTCTTCCGAAGAGTTCTTGTGACGATTCCAATTCATTGTTTAAATTTCCCCCCCAAAGCCCAACATGCAATAAATTTCTCCATTCACAGCCTTCTCTTCCCAAGAGTTCTTGTCACGACTCCAATTCATTACGAAAGCCAGCCGATAGGCTAGGCAAAGTTGTTTTGGCGAACGAAGTGAGTATTAGGGGGTCTGGGGGGTGGTCGTGGCGTATGGTCCCAAAATCTCGAAATTAGTTGCAGTGGAGGGTGGCCAGATTGAACTTTTTTGGGGGCATGTACCACTACGCAAAGAGGTGACGGTAGGCTTCGATTCCCCCTAGGTCCGTTGACTCCGGCAGGAAAAAGGGAGGAAAAAACCAAGGAAAATGAAGGAAAATCGTTGAAAACAGGGGGAAAATGGAGGAAAATGGAGGAATGACAGGAAAAAGGTAGGAAAAAAACGAAAGAAAATGAGGGAAAATCGTCCAAAGCAGGGGGAAAACGGAGGAAAATGGAGGAACTCCGAAGCTCAGCGGAGAGCAGCGTCCGTTGGGGTTCGGAACAAGATAGTTTGCAAGGGGATGAGAAGTGATACTGAGGAAGGGGGGGCGAAGGGTTGCAAAGCAAGGAGAAGTCTTCCAAAGGTGCTGCAGATGGTTTGGGCTTCTAGTAGATGATTAACCAGCGGGCTGAGGATCATTACAGTAGGAGGTGGACAGTGTAAAGTGTAAACTGTTGTGGGGGGAGTGCACAGTGTAAAGTGTAAAGTGTGGAGCGTAGAGTGTAGAGTGTGAAGTGTAGAGTGTAAAGTGCAGAGTGTAAAGTGTAAAGTGCAGAGTGTAAAGTGTAGAGTCTGGAGTGTCAAGTGTAAAGTGTAGAGTGTGGAGTGGAAAGTGTAGAGTGTGGAGTGTGGAGTATGGAGTATGAAGTGTGGAGCGTGGAGTGTAAAGTGTGGAGTGACATACAATCTTTCACCCACCATCTTTCACACACACACACAACTTTGTCACACACCATCTTTCACACACTACTTTGTGACGCACCATCTTTCACACACCACTTTGTGACACCCCCCCTTTCACCCACCATCTTTCATATACAACTTTGTCACAGACCATCTTTCACACACAGCTTTGTCACACACCATCTTTCGCACACAACTTTGTCCCACACCACTTTGTCACACATCATCTTTGACACAAAGTGTGGAGTGAGGGGTGTACAGTGTAAAGTGTAAGGTGTGGAGTGTAGAGTGTAGGGTGTCAAGTGTAGAGTTTAAAGTGTAGAGTGTGGAGTGTAAAGTGTGGAGTGTGGAGTGAGGAGTGTATACAGTGTAAAGTGTAAAGTGTAGAGTGTAGAGTGTAGAGTGAAGAGTGTAGAGTCTAGAGTGTAAAGTGTAAAGTGTAGAGTGTAAAGTGTAGAGTGTGGAGTGTAAAGTGTGGAGCTTGGCGTGTAAAGTGTGCAGTGAGGAGTGAGGAGTGTAAAGTGTAACGTGTAACGTATGGAGTGTAAAGTGAAGAGTGTAGGGTGTAAAGTGTAGTGTGTAAAGTGTAGAGTGTGGAGTGTGGAGTGCAAAGTGTGGAGTGCGGAGTGTAGTGTGTAAAGTGCAGAGTGTGGAGTGTAGAGTGTAGAGTGTAAAGTGTAGAGTGTGGAGTGTAAAGTGTGGAGTGTAGAGTGTAGAGTGTAAAGTGTAGAGTGTGGAGTGTAAAGTGTGAAGTGTAAAGTATGGAGTGTAGAGTGAAGACTGTAGAGTGTAAAGTGTAGTGCGTAAAGTGTAGTGTGTGGAGTGTGGAGTGTAAAGTGTAGAGTGTAAAGTGTAGAGTGGAAAGTGTCAAGTGTAACGTGTAAAGTGTGGAGTGTGGAGTGTAGAGTGTAAAATGTAAAGTGTAGAGTGTGAAGTGTGGAGTGTGGAGTGTGGAGCGTTTTGCTGTGTCTGTGTCTGTCTGTGTCTATGTCTGTCTCTGTATGGGAGGGAGGTTGCAGTTGGTTACGCGAGGTTACTGTGAGGCATGGGAGCAACTTTCTGAAAATTAAGCGGCCCTTCGGTCGGCTA